ACATAAAATGTAGTAGTAAGAGAGCGAAGAAGGGAGGGAAGGAGGGAGAGTAAGAGTATAGGTTATCGTACCGTACAGGGTCGAGAATCATGGCGCATCTGGCATGACGTGGCGCTGCTGCTTCCGGCACTTCCGGGCGGGCAGGAAGTAGGTGAGGCGGGGGGGGGGGGGCTGGCACTCTCCCCCCCCTTCCCCTCGCCCACTGCCTCCACCCCCCTCCCCAACAACACAACGTCTCAACTACGTCTATTGCTCAACTACGTAATAGACGGATCTTGATACATTTTTTCGATAGTTTTGGTGAATGGAGAGAGAGAGAGGGAGGGGAGGGAGGGAGAGAAGGGAGGCTTGGAGTAAGGGGAGACTGGAGAGCCGGCTGGAGAGAGGGGAGGCCAGAGAGAGATTGAAGGGAAGTGAGGGGGGAGGTGAGTCGGCAGTCCGGATGTGACCCCTTGGTGCAGTGAGGGGAAGTGTACCCTCTCTTTTACCCTCCCTCCCTCCCTCCTGACCCCTCATTGCTAGTACTGGACCCCCTGCACCCCTCTTGTTCACTCCCTTTTTCCCATTCTCTTTCTCTGTCTGCCTCCCTCTCCCTCCCTCCCCCCTCCCTCCCCTCCTCCCTCTCTCCTCCTCTCTCTCTCTCTCTCTCTCTCTCTCTCTCTCTCTCTCTCTCTCTCTCTCTCTCTCTCTCTCTCTCCGCCACTCTCTCTCTCTCTCTCTCTGCGCCACTCTCTCTCTCTCTCTCTCTCTCTCTCCTCTCTCTCTCTCTCTCTCTCTCTCTCTCTCTCTCTCTCTCTCTGCGCTCTCTCCTCTCTCTCTCTCTCTCTCTCTCACTCTCTCTCTCTCTCTCTCTCTCTCTCTCTCTCTCTCTCTCTCTCTCTCTCTCTGCCACTCTCTCCTTTATCTGTGTTGTTTCATATGTTTAAACATTTCCTACCGTTTGTCTTATTGTCACCTGTTCCTTCTGTCACCCGTCAACCTGTGCATCCCCCGTGGGTGTATGGACGGGACATTCCCGTGAGTGCTGGGGATGACAAGGGGTTGAGCTCTGGTTCTTTGGTCCCGCCTCTCAACTGTCAATCAAC